GCTTAGGAGGAGAGCACTTCTCCACAGCCCTCATGGCTGTTGGACTTGAGGAAGACTTTTCTGGAGCTTCTTCCAGACATGTGGAGGGCATGTACAGATGTGGGTGCTCCCTCACCTCCTCAAAACTTACAGCACAGGCTACTTGGAGACGTAGAGCCCCTGACTGCTGCTCCCCACTCTGCCACAGGAATGTCCCCGCGCAGATGTGGCACCACTGTACACCCACCGTCTCCATGGGTCGCACAGTCAGTTTTTTTCCTCTTGCAGTACTTTCAAATACCCATTATTTCTAATAACTGCCCCTGGTATCAAAGCTCAGAGCAAGAGGTTCCCCACAGATCCCAGCTGCTAACCCCAACACAAGGCAGCGGGGAAACTTCCACTCTTCTCCCAGAGAGCTTGGCTTAATCCCTCTATGCCGTAGCTAACAAAGCTTCCCCCCCTCTCCTTTTTTTTTTTTTTTTTTTTTTAACCAGGCAGCTGAATCACAATCGAGATCAATTTTGTTATTTCCTAAACAGTCGCAAGCTGACAGGGTAACAGAGGCAGGCTGAGCGATGGCAGGTGGTTGCAGCACAAGAGCCTCAAGCCTTCCTGCTTTCCTGGCTCTTGCCAAAGCCCAGCACGCAGGTGGACAGAGACATCTCATCCCGGCTGTGACGTGACCCTTCCTAAACAGCCGTCAGCAAGGAAAGGGCACAGAGGTGTCGGTGCATCGCCGGGGTCAGGGGCAGTGGGCAGAGGCCGCAGAGCTTTTAAACAGAAGAGAAGCACCTGTGAGCTTTCCCTGTGCGGAGCATCTCCCATCGCACCGCGTGCAGCGGGGCTCAGGGATGCCGGTGGATTCATCGTCTCTTCCTATGGTTTGCAGCAGGAGTCACAGAGCTGGAGCCCGCAGAGGTACACAGCTAGCAGGGGAAGGATGGCTTGGAAACACGGGTCGGGAAGCTAAAATTCATTCAAAGGACCTCATCAGCAGGAACTGCTGCGGCCGCCCCGTGCGTCATTGGAAGAGGCAACCTCTCTGCTGGCAGATAGTGCTTGGATGGTGACAGGGTGCTGGGATAAGGTGTACAGGATTGCCAAGAGCTGCTGCGTAGCTTCTGGGTAGCGGGAGTTTCTCACGTGCCCTGAAGTACCGAGAGCACATCTGTAAGACGGTGAGTCCAGCACTCACCTGGGACCAGGTGGGGGACCTCCTTCCAGTCACTTACTTTGTATTTCGGTTTCTGTAAGATGAAAGTTTCTGCCTTGAACTGCAAAGAGGCACAGCTTTTCCCAAGGGGAACAGATTTAGACAGCGGATATGTTGCAGAAGGAACTGCTCATGGGTACTACAGGCTCACTGGGTGAGAGACGGCTCTCTTTAGGCTATATCCATCATCAGTGGCAAGAAAAAGAGTCAGTTATAGCCCGTTATAAATCAGGGCACTCGCGGTCCTGCTGCCATAAGCCGCCTTCTCAGCTCTCACAGTCTTCCTCTCCACCTTCGCAGCACACGTGCCGCTGCCTCTACAGCTGCTCAGGAACCATGGATTCAGGGCAAAGCTCTAATTAAGGCGCTTTGAATGGCTTAATGGGGAGAGACAGGCTCCTCCAAAGACTGTACAAAGAGCCATGGGGGAAGGAAATGCTGAATTCAGTGCCTAAGACAGACAGGTGCCTCAAGTTAAGCAGCATGAAGGCTCCTCTGCGTACCCGTGCGATGCCCGATGCAAAGATCCCGAAATACCGATGGCAATGAAAGGCAGCTCACCGTCTCACTCTGTCCTTTCTTCTCACGTGCAGGCAGCCCGATCCATCACACGGTGCTTTGACTCTTCCCCCCGGAATCAAATGCATATTCCTTGCTAGATACAGGGGGAGGCCAGAGTTGGGAGTCATCAAAAGCACCAGTGAGGTTTTGTGTGTGCACATACATGCACGAACTGCATCAGCCTTCTGCGCACATGTAGAAAGTAGAATCATAGAACCATTTAGGTTGGAAAAGACCTTTAAGATCATCGAGTCCAACTGTTAACCTAACACTGCCAAGTCCACCACTAAACCATGTCCCTAAGTGCCACGTCTACACATCTTTTAAATACCTCCAGGGATGGTGACTCAACTACTTCCCATAAGCCTGTTCCAGTGCTTGACAACCCTTTCGGTGAATAAGTTTTTCTTAATACCCAATCTAAACCTCCCCTGGTGCAACTTGAGGCCGTTTCCTCTTGTCCTATTGCTTGTTCCTTGGGAAAAGAGACTGACACCAACCTCACTACAACCTCCTTTCAGGTAGTTGTAGAGAGCAATAAGGTCTCCCCTCAGCCTCCTTTTTTCCAGGCTGAACAACCCCAGTTCCCTCAGCCGCTCCTTATAAGACTTGAGCTCTAGACCCTTCACCAGCTTCGTTGCTCTTTGGATGTGCTCCAGCGCCTCAATGTCTTTCTTCTAGCGAGGGGCCCAAAACTGAACACGGTATTCGAGGTGTGGCCTCCCCAGTGCTGAGTATAGGGGGAAAATCACATCCCTAGTCCTGCTGGCCACACTGTTTCTGATACAAGCCAGGATGCCATTGGCCGCCTTAGTAGGTACATCCACATCCAGTTTTCAGCTGGTGGCTGCTGGTCACCAGACAGTAAAGCAACTGCCCCAAATTCCAGTGATGACTTTCCAAACAAACCATAGGTTCAAAGTCCTCTGGAGGGTTTTTCTGCATTTGCTAGTGGATGTTAAGTTAATTTTTATATCAGCTGCTTCCAGGTGGCTGCACGGTTGATCATTTCCTATGACCATGCTGCAGTATTTCCTAGCCCCAGAACAAAATGCTACTCTAAACATGCTTGGAGGTGGGGAGAAGTCAGCCCCAGTTTGGAAAAGTGGCTTTGCCCCATATTTAACAGGGTCCCTAGAGCGTTCCAGCCACCTCCCTGTCCCACCAGTCGTCCCAGCGTGGGGATGCCGTGGGATGCGTGGCGTGGGACACCTGAGATTTGCTACTGCACCCGACGTGGCAGCAGCAGCCCCTGCTGCGAGAGCTGCAAAACTGCAGGTGCCTTTTCCCTGGCCCCAGGGTGGGAAGGCGATGGGGAAAAAGCCACCCAAGCCCCCCACTAGAGGACCCCCCCACCTCCCCAGGCACCGCGAAGCCGGACACGCTCCAGCCTGTCGAATAAAATGATGGTTATAAATAAAACACCGGCCGCTGCATGCTCGCAGGGTGCTCCCGCTCCCCTGGTACGGCACTTTCTGGCTCTACACAAGCTCCCTGCGGCTTTGGTGTGGCACAGGGTGGATTCCGATGATAAAAAAACCTGCTTTTTGGGGGTGCCCGAGAAAGCGGTGCGGAGGGGCACGTCGCAGCATGTAGTTCTAACCCCCGCGCCTTCTGCCCTGATCCTACCCACCTCTGGCTTGTTCCAGCATCCCTCCACACCAGCGAGGGCTGCGCTGGCAGCCTTCCCCTCTGCTGGGACCGCAGGAGACTTCCCACACTCGCACCCTTGTCTGGGCTTCTCTGTCTCCAGCCCCCGCTGCGGATTTGGCCCGCAGAGGAAGGGGACCCCCAGTCAACGCACTTCACCCAGGCCAGAGGTGTAAGCGCTCAGACAGCTGCGAAAGAAAGAAAAACATGAAGGAAACTGGTTTCTGTTAGCAAAAGGTGACAAAAAAAAAAAAAATTGGGATTACCCTCTGGGGTGTTTCCATTTTAGAAGCGAAGAGGGGCTATGGGAATATTGTTCCCCATAAGATTATTGGTTTTGGTGATTTGACCTAGAAATTCAGCAAGCTTGGAAAACCACAGGGGCAATGGGGGAAAAAAAGGTGATATCGGTGATGGGACACAGCAGTGAGAGATTTCACCATCGTAAAGGATAACGGAGAGGGCAGGGCTAACGTGCATTGTTCAAAACCGGGTTTGGGATTCCTCTGTCACCTGCCCTTTTAACAAAGCCTTTCTCCAGAGGGTTTTTTATGCACTGGGCCTCAGGTCTCAGCATCCTGAACTTGGGTGGAGGAAATGATATGCTGAAATGCCTTCATAAATATCCTCCAAAAAGCAGGCACACCGGATTTACTGTTCTTGATATTGCTAAGATAAAAATTAAACAGACCATATGAATTTAAACAAACCTCATTCCAGACTACATCATCCATACAAAGACATACAGAAGGGCCCCAGCCCCAGAAAAACAAGGCAAAAAAAGAAAAGAAAACCTTTTCAGATCCTCTTTTACGATTGCTAGCTTGTCTTTCCCTTCAGCTCTGACCTGAGCCTCACCTACGACCGTGCAACTGAACTACACAAAACGCAAAGACACCTCCAGGGGCATCACCTTTGGACTCCATTTTCTCGTTCAGATGCTACCAAAAAAACCCCCAAACCACCCCAAAAGTCTCCTGCACGTGCCCCACTCCGAGGTCCTCGCTTTGCCAGGGAGCAGCACACCCCAGGCGAGCAACCGCAACTGCTTCTGGAGTCCCATCTCCAGCCGGGTGCGATGCCGGTGGGAGGCTCTTGCATCGGCAGCCTCGGAGAAGGAGTCCTCTGTCCGTCTGTCTGTCCGTCCATCTGCTGCGTGCGAGAAGCCACGCGTGTTTCTGAGACGCGGCGTGCCGGTGCGAATCAACCAGCTCTTGCAGGGAAAACCCTCTGAGATGATGAAGTTTGGGCTCTCGCAGGCCACCCAGCCCCAGTCTTTCCGCTGCCGGCACCGGGACGGACAGACGTGCCGGTTATCTGTGGGATGGCAGGCGGCTGCCCGGAGCAGCCGGGACAAAACCACGGCCACCTCCCCGAGTGCTGCCAACCACCTCGCAGCCAAACGCGGTCTGCGGTCACCGCTGGGGCTGCCATCGCAACCCGGAGCGGGGCAAGGTTTATTCCCGACCCCCCCAGATGCCAGAACAAGACGCATCCCTCGGAGGGACGCGTGGCTTTAGCGTCGCTGAAAACACCCAGCGTTTCGGGGCGGAGGGCAGGAGGGCACTTGCCTTTGGGGCAGGGGTGCTCCCAGTCACACAAAGGTGGGTTTCAGATCTTCTTTGAAATTCACCACGGGCTGGGGCCCGCCGTGCTGCTCTGTCCGGGGGCCCGCGCGACCGCTGGGCTCTGTGTCCGTGTCTGTGCTGCTGCTTCCCAGGGAGCCGCGTGGGCTCTGGAAGCAGACCTCGCAGCAGGGCCGGTGGCAGCCGTGAAACATCTCCTCAGAGCTGCTGCTGCTGGAGTCCGAGTCCGGGTAATAGTACAGCGAGCGCAGGGAGGGCTCGGCGGGGCCCCCCGGGGGGCCCCGCCACCGCCGCCGCTGTTCCCGCGGGATGCACGGTGAAGCATCCCGAGATTCTGGCCATCCTGGCCATCCCTCCGGCTGGAGGCAGAGCTCCCCAGGGACGGCTAGAGGGGACGGTGCTGGCGGGTGAAGGAGCCCTCCGCCAGCCATCTCCCCTTCCCTCCCCAGGGAGATCCGTGGCGATTCCCCACCGCCCCAGCCGCCTGCCTCCTTCACCCCGCGGCCGGCACGAGGGGAGACGTGTCCGTGGAAGCGGGTGGAAGCAGCGGGCAGCGGGATCCGCCGCCGCCGCCTTGCCAGGTAGGGGCTGAGGGGCGTGCGGATGCCCAGGTAGCCTTCCCGGCCCCCCCACGTTCCTCCCTGCTCACCTGGGGGGCTGCCAAGCGGGGATCCCCCAGGTAAAGCCGGGCTATAGGCTTTGCCATCCAGGCTCAGCTCTTGCAAGATTTCCCGCAGCTTCTCGCTGCTGACGTAGCTGACTTTGGGGGACGTCTCCCAGGCCACGCCAGATGAGATGTCCTGGCCCGGCAGCTGCTCCGGAGGCTGCCCCTGCCCCGCGGGTGTCCCGCACTCCTGGACATCTTTCAGGCCACGTTCGATGCCGTCCCCCGTCTCAAAAACCAGCACCTGAGAGCAAACGGGCTCGCGGCTGGCGTTGTTCTGGAGGTCCCGAGCATCGCTGCGAAGACGCGGTGTATCCGGCAAGCAGGGAGGCTGCAACCCATCCCGCTCCGGATCCGGGGGACAGCGGTCCCCCGGTCCATCCCCGCGCCGTCCTGAGCTCCAGGTGCGGGGAGCTGGCGGCGGCGCGAGGGGGTCGCAGCCGCTCTCTGCAGACATCAGCCTCATCAGCTTCTCCTTGGCACTGCTCACTTGCTCCTGCAGGCTTTCGATCACGGCGTTTTTCTGCGTCAAACAAACACACCCGTCAAGCGTGGGGCAGGCGGAGGGTACGAAAACGCCGCCGGTTTGGAAGCAGGCACTGCCAAAAAAAAACGTATCGCCCCCCTCCACACCTCTCCACGTGGAGAGGTGCTCTGAGGCAGCACCGCAACAGGGCTGCAGTGTGTGTGACCACGTCCCCCCCTGGAGCCCCCCAGATGTGGGTGCAGGAAGGGGGGGACACCGTGGCAGGCAGCTCTTCAAACAGGGGTGCTCCCACCCACGCAGTGCAAGCTGGCGGCTTTCCTGAGATGGAGCATCTCCCCTCTGAATTAATCATGTTTGACCAGGCTGTGGGAACCAGGCTCTCCTGCTCTTCTCCCTACATGTTTTTTAGAAACCCTCCAGATTACTCCTAAATTTTGGCGCTTTGGGGTGCAGAGCGATGTGACAAAACAAAGCGGGTTCTCCCCTCCGGAGGGAAGGGGCTGGAACGGGGAGCACCGGGGCGTCGGGAAGGGTTTCCCACCCTGCAAAGCCTTCAGCCCACAAAAGGGAAGGGGAGAAGCCGGTGCGGCCGAGGGGGGCCGGCAGAGCCCCGTACCTCGGTGAGCAGCCGCTTCATGGAGTTTTTCTCCCCTATCAGCTGGTAGAGCTGCTCCTCGCTGTACACCGAGCGGCAGCTCTTGCTCGGGCTGGTGAAATACTTCGCCATGTGGCTCACGGTTTGGCTTTCTTCTTCAAAGGCTTTCCACTGCTTGAGCTGGGGAGCAGAAGAGGGAGTTATCGGAGCCTGCCGATGCGGCGGGAGGCAGGCGCGGCTCGCGCGCGAAGGAGACAAAGGGACGAGGGACGGAGAAGGGCGGACAAAGGCAGGGTGTGACGGAGGAGCAGAGACGGCTGGGCGAGGGGCCGCGGTGTCACTCGGAGCCTCCCACCCACCCGAGCCCTACCCTGTCCCTGGCTCCAGCCTTTAACGCAGAGAGGGTCGGTGCCTGCCTGTGCCGCAACCTCTAAGCGCGCTGTAAAAGCCCCCTTCTCCTTCTCCCCCCCCCCCCCGACTCTGTGACAGACAAAGACGGTGTCACGCACGCCTCCTTATCCCCGAATCACCGGTGACAAGCTGAAAACCAGCAACGCTTAGTATCCATTTCTCGCCTACTGTCTGCGTAGAAGCCTTGCGCAGCCCAGCTCCGGCTGCTTATCGATCTCGGATGAGCAATCAAAGAGCGAGCCCGTTAGGAAAAACAAGTTGATGAATTAAAAGATCCAAGTTAAATAAAATGTTCGAGGCCCCCAGGCTACGGCAGAAAAACGGTACAGGCAGAGTGCAAGTACAGCTCATCAGCTCCTCCGCCCTCGCTCCGCCAGACCTCGTGCTTGGCAGAGCATCGCCAGCAGGCTCAGTGCTTGTCAGAGGAGGTTTGGATCCTGCTCCCAAGGGCTGCTCATCTAGTGGGTTGGGACTCTGCAGTGACACGGCACCTGCTGAGGTAGGAGGGGATCTCTGGAAATCCTCCTGCTCAAGCAAGGGCAGCTGGACCAGGCTGCCCAGGACCGTGTCCAGCTGGGTCTTGAGTATCTCCAAGGATGGAGACTCCACCACCTCTCTGGACAACCTGCTCCAGGCCTTTACAGCTTTCACAGAAAAAAAAAAAACAACAGAAAAAAAACACCAAAAAAACCCCCCAAAAAACCCGTTTTCTGATGTTTAAATAAAGTTTCCTGTGTTTCAGTTTGTGCCCATTGTCCCCTGTCCTGTCAGTGGACACCACCAAGAAGAGCCTGGCTTCCCCTTCCCTACTCCACCCCCATCAGTATTTTTACACACTGGTGAGATCCCCCGAGCCCTCTCTTGCACAGATGTGCTCTTTCTTCAGCTTCACCTCTTCCTCCCTTTTTCACCTCATTTCCTTGAGCCCAAACATCCCTCCAAACATTAAACCGAGTAAACAACTGTTTCCTCTCCCTGTAACAATGGGAGCATTTTTCCCCACTAACGTCGTGGCCAGGCATACCGGGCTGCTCCCGGAGGACGCGGGAAGCAGAAGAGCCGAGCCTCATCACAAAAGGCTTCCTTCAAACACCTCCGCGTCCTCCTCCTCCTCCTCGCTTGCGGCAAAGCCCAGCTTTCTTCTCCAAGAAGCTTCTGAGCCTGGGCGAGTCCATCTCAATGGCCAGAGCCTGGCTCCATCCCTGCCGCGGGCAGGAACCCTCGGCAGGAGCAAGCACGTGGGATATGAGGAGAGGACAACTGTGTGAAGGACCGATCCCACCGCCCACATGGAGGAGGAGGAGGAGGAGGAGGAGGAGGAGGAAGGCAGCAGCCTCCCTGGGTGCCCTCCGTGTGGCTGTCACCCGTGGCATGCTCTCGCAGGAGGGTTTCGGAGCAGCAGTTCTGCACTCCTTGGAGACTCGGGGGACTCGCTTGGGGAAGGAGAGCCACCGGGGGCTTGGGGGATGAGCTGTGCAGGTGAGCCCGAACGTTTGGGGAAAGAAGCAGGAAAAGAAGTGCTTTGACCCACGCGGCTGCTGTTGTTAAAACCCTGAAAACGTGCTCGTTTCCAGGCCAGAGGTGGCAGCGTACCTGTGGGACAAAGATGAAGCAGTTGATCGTGGTTGTACACACGAAGATGCCTCCGGAGGTAAAACCAAACAGCAGGTTGTGCCAAGCGCGGAAGAAACGGTGAACTAAGCAGATGGTGCCAGCAGCCAGGAAAACGAGGTTGACCCCGACGATGAGCGTCAAGGACTGGTTGACTGGCGGGGAGCTGACGTTGTCCGTCAGACCGGCCAAGTAGGTCCCATACAGCAGAAGGATACTCTGGAAGCAGAAAAAAGAGGCTTCCAGAGTGTGGAAAATTACAGCCTGATGGTGTCAACCCCCACCTCTTACCGAGCCCGGTGAGCTCAGATACACTCAGCGCAATCCTAATTAATGCTCTTTGATCTATAATGCAGACCTTCAGCGTGCGCCGGCGACGCTGCGGCAAACACCCGGCACACTGCTGCAGGGCAGAAGTGGGGCTGGGGAGGGAGAGCAGGAGCAAAGGGCACTGGTGGGCTCTGGGGGTCCCGGCCGGGTCGGCAGGCGATGCCACGGAGCGAGGCACGGCTGGGAGAGGCGAAAAACCTCCCCTTGGGCAGCCTGGAGCGGGAGCACCAGAGACGGACAGAAAAGAGATGGAGGTCCCTGCGGGGATGCAGTGGTGGTGCCATCGAGGAGCAACGATGTACCTCGGAAGGAGATTCAGAAGGACATTCAGAAGGAAAAAGCGAAGCAGAAGCAGCAGAGGTTTGGGCTGGAGGGAAGGGGATGTCCTTGGTGCCTCTTTAAACAGAAATCCAGAAAACTACTGGGTGCGATTCTTCTCCCTTCCCTTCGCCGTTTCTCGCCCGACTCGAGCAGCAGTGAAAGGGGCTCGAGAAATGTTCTGTACACAGAAGCCCTCCCTCCCCCGGAGCAGACCAGTTCTTTCAGAGCAGGCTTCCTCACCGCGCTGCCCCTCAAGCACCCCACGTGTGCATCTTTCCAGTGTGCTCAGGATTAAACCACCTGGCAGGCTGAATCCCTCCTTCCCCAGGGCACGCTGGTGGGAAACAGTGAGTATTTTTTTTGCCCGCCTCTGTAGCGCAGGGCACGGTCTGCCTTCAGGATTATTTGGAAATACCATCTAACAAACCCCCTGCTCCTGCAAGGACCCAGAATACAGGGAACACGACTCCTACATTATTCCTGTGCTGCCCAGTAAGTGCAACTGTCGGCCTTTTACTAAGAGACAGTAAATTGTTATTTGGGCACCAAGAATTGCTTTGTGACCTGTGGTGCAGATGTTCTGTAGACCTTTCCGTGCTGTGGCTGCTCGATGACCACAACGGCCACTGCCAGGGTTAGGGTCTGGAGGGACACTCTTACAGGCAAGAGAGGTTCTTGTCCACGGTCTTTGGTGAGATTCCCAACTTCAGAGCACCTTGAATTCTCAAGGGGGGGGTTGTAGTAGTGGGACCTGTCTCACTGGGAACTAGGCTGATGCCTGACCCTACTTTGCATGATCTGCACTGGATCATAACCATGTTCACCACGGGGCACCTCCAAATACATGGCCCAAAGGCAAGCCAACTCCTAATCCCTTAGCAAGAAAAAACACAGCACCAAAATCCCATTTAAAATTCATATAGTCTATCTGGGACGCACACAACAGCACTGCTGTCTAGTAAACTAGGACTTTCAGTAAGCACAGGACTAAGATGTTTGGTGGTTTGTTGGTTGGTTTGTTTGTTTGTTTTAACCTTGAGCAGAGGACTTTGCTCCTAATTCCAGGCATGTCCTCGGCAAGTCATTTCTGTTCATTGCTCTGTGCCAGTAAAACCAGGATAATACACTGAACGGCTTCACAAAGGGCTGAGCACATTAATGCTGTGGAAGCTAAGAAGTGCTACGTACACACAGAGATAGAGCCTACTCTCACATTAGTGTAAATCCAGATTAACTCCAGAGAAATCACTAAAGAAATAACTCCATGACTCCCAGTAGGTAGATAGGATCAGGGTCAGGTTCAACACAACACTAACAAAGAGTACCTGGGACCGGTAATGGGGATGTTTTATTCCAAAAAGCAGTTTGTAGGAGCTGTAGGCAAAAGCATTGCCTGTCTAAACCCTAACACAAACTGCGGACAAAATCAGAGGTGAGACACAGCACTGAAAGCCCAGGGAACGCCTGCAATCCCTAGCACCAAAGGACTTTTAAGGACAGGCTAGACTAACGTCTTTAAAATGAAGTGTAGGGCGGAGAAGGACTTGGCCATGTCGTGAGGTCTCTTTCTGCTCTTTTTCCTACGATTTTGGGTAGACGAGTGTTATATTACAGTGAGTCAGAAAGGAACTGCCCGTACTGCACGCAGAGATGGAGCCATTCCCAAAGCAAGGCTGTGATCTCACAAGCTTCATCAACATCAGCTTTCTGAAATGCGTCCAGCCTCTGCCAACCCAGAGACACATGAGACCACGGATAATTACAGCGATAATTATACCTACATAGTTACATCAGTATAACTAACTCTTCTGGAATAAGAATGGCCACGTGCAAAGCTACACCAGTGAAAGTGTACCTCAGTGGTATAATTAAGCTGATACAGATCCTGTGAAGGTAGGCACCAAGCACTTGTCATCAGCACCTCCTTAATTTGGAGTCAGAGGACTCGGGGGCTGAGCCACACAGCGAGTGTATCACTGCGGAGGACGCTCAGCTGAGGCTTTGTGGGAAAAGCGTGCTTTACAAAAGAGGAAGACACAAGTTTTAAGAAGGGGAGATAGAAGAGGCATGGCGGGTTGCAAGGAGAGAACGGGAGAGACAGTATGTGCACGGTGTATGTAAAAGAGATGGTGAGGCAGGGAAAAAGTGGCTAACAGGGCTTTTGCAAGGGAATGCAGGAAAACGTCAAGATGGGAAGGACTGGAGATGAGAGGGCTTTCAAGATGAACAGGAGTAGCCGGAATCTGCAACAGGCATGTAGCTTGGGAGGGCAGCGAAACGATGAACGCTGCCGAACAGTTCAGGCTGTGAGACTGGGAGGAGGCGAGATACAACGCAAGACTCCATAAAGAGGTTACGTACCTTAAACCCTAAAATGAGAACGAGCCACAGATCGGAATAGAGAGATCCGCAGGACTGCACCCGGCTGACGGAGCAGGTCATGCCTTTCTCTGTCGCCTAGAAGGCAAGGGGAAGGCAGAAGTGAAGGCTGCTGCCCCAACCCGGGAGCAGGCACAGACCGATGGGCAGACAGGCGTACGCATCTGAGCGGGTCTCCTCTGTAAATTCCTAAAAGGAAAGGCCAAAGGCTGGTGCTGCCAGGGGCAGAGGGTTAAAGCCAGGAAGGTTTTGGCACTCTGCTGCTAACAGGGCTGGTTAAACCTTTTCCTAAAGCGGCTGCAGATGCCGTGGACCTCGCCTGTGTCACCCAGGTGGCCTGCACAGACCTGGAAATTTTGCAGCAGACCTTCATCTCCGTAATAGACCAGACATAAACCCAACCCAGAGCGCCCAGAAGGCTTTCTGGCTTGTTTTTCCTCTCTCTTTTTTTTTTTTTCAAACAGCACCTCCAAACGCCTGACCCTCCACCAACTTTGTCCACAGGACACGGCGCAACCCTCCACTGCCCCTCCTCATCCCTTTACCCGCAGTGAGATGCTGAGGCTTCGGAAGCATTGGACTGGATCAGAGAATACCCACGTCAAGAGCAACACGGCGTCCGCCAGCACCAACGCTGCCACCATCGCCAGCAACTGGAGGTCTTTGATAATCTGCAAACATGCAAAAAGTAAGCATTACCGTGTGGGGAGGCAAATAGACACCAATAACCTCCATCCCCTTGGGTCTCTTTTTGGTTGTTTCTGCCACGGGACACATCCATCCTAATAATTCCCCCAGAGCAGAGTCCGGCGGCTCACTTACATCTGAGTCGGCCACAGGATCTCTGTCTCCAGCTCCCAAACTCCTGGAGACCTAATCAGGCTCGGGGCCAGGTATAAACCCTCCCCAACGGTGTAGCTAGCTGGTAAATGCTATGACAGAAAACAGCTCTTTCAAAACAAGAGTATCATCCCTTACGCCCGTATCACAAGCAGAAAAAAAAAGGGGGGGGGGGGGAGAAGCTGGTAGGATTATCATTTTGCAAGTTTAACACAGACCCCAGTGCCTCAGGAATGGGAGTCCTTGCTGGTACCTGGTTCCCCTGCAAACCCTCTCATCTCACTTTTCATCTGAGACCTACTTATTTCGCCATTGGAAAGTGGCCACTGAAAGCTGTGAGTGCACTGTTACATGCACAAATTTATATAGGCGGCTCCCATTTCCCTCCCAGCTGCTGTATCCCCTCCCTTCGGTGCTGCAGAGAAGTTCCCAGCGCTCCCTCCCTCCCTTCAAGAGGAGATCGGATGCATCTGGGGATGGCCCTACATCAGACGCCCTCGAGGATACCCGGTTTATTTTCATCCCACAAAAACAATCAGCCCCGACCTGGACGCAAATGCCGGTGCGTAGCATAATGAAGGCACGTGGCCGATGTAAAACGAGAACAAGACCTCACTCGGCGATGGGGCTGAAACTCCACCGGGGAACAGGCAGCCTGGCAGGGCACCCGCTTGCCTCTAGAGTGGAAAAGCTCCTGCCTCATTGCACAGGAATAAATGAGGAGCCCGTGCCCAGCGAGGTGGGAAACCAGACCTGTGACTGTGGCACCCGTCCCCATCACGTGCTGGTTTTATCTGCTATCCTGCACTGGTTTGGAACTTGCTGGTGTTCCTACCCCCCTGCCTTGGGGAGTTTGCTCCCCGTACCCCCGGGATGCTACGTACTCACCACCCGCTTGTCCGGCACCCGCTGGGTGAACACCTTGTAGAGCCGCCAGCTTTTTCCCAGGACGGGGCCAAACACCAAGGAGGTTCCCACGCAGAGCAGGCAGAGACGAACCTACCGGTGGGGGGAACGGCGAGGGGGCTGAAGGGGCAACCGTGGGGCTCGCAGGGACACCCCGCACCCTCCCACCCAGGAACACAATAAAGACGGGTGGGCATGTGTCTGTGGTCTTCTGGAGGGACATATTAGATTCTAGAAAGCTGACCGCAGGGTGAAATCAATTAAAAGGCACATATTCTTCTGCACGCATGCCTGCTGCCTGCCTTTTCCTCCCCATCTCAAGAGGGTCTCGCCGGAGGAGCGGGCAGGGAAAGCCAGGCAGCTTGTGAGCGGCAGGGGCACGGAGGGTCCCAGCACCAATAAATCACTTGCCGGCACCTCCGTTAATTACCCTCGGCCCAGCGGCTAAGCAGGACGGCAGGGCGTGCTCTCCCCCACGTCCCACTCTCCCACCCGGGTGCGTGCCCAGTCCCCGGTCTGGCAGAGCAGCTGCCCCACGTCAGGACACGGGGGTTCGTCACCCAGGTCAGCGTTTCGATGAAGACCTGCTTCGCAGCCAAAAAAACTCGCCTGCAACCTCGCGGCCCCTCTGCCGCGTCGGGCAGTGGCTGTGCGGAGAAGCCCATCTCCCTTCGGGCTCCCTTCTCCCCGTTGCACTTTTACAAGCCCAGCAGCCTGCCCGCCTGTGGGGCAGCTGCCCTCTCCTCTGGGGACCTCTCTTGCACCCCCCCAGGTGCGGCTGTGTTTTACACAACCCCCCCGCTCACCTGAATAAGCTTTTCCACCGAGTCTCCGGACAGCAGGCTCTGCTCCGGAATCCCAAAGAGGTAAGCACTAGTGTAAGTCAAGCCACTGCCCAGCAGGGTCACAATGTTCAGATTGGGGCTGGACATCTTCACGATCCTCCAGGAAACAAAGCAGGGAAGGCGGTGACAGTTACTGAGCGGCATGACCTGGCAGCACAGGGGCAAGGTCCCCTTACAGGGATGCTGATGGCCATAAGGGATGCTGACATACTGTCCCCCCCCAGCCCCCGCTGTTCACAGCTCCTCCAAAAGCTCCTGGCGCACACCCCATCCTCTCCCCTGTATTGCCAGAGCGCTTCACTATCCTTAAAGTATTTGTTTTGCCCTACCCCGACGCTCTTGCGGGACAGCAAGATCCCTTCTCCCCAAAACGGCCGGGTACCAGGCTTGCCCCATGGCACCTCTACCCCCTGCACGGATCTGCGGCACAGAAAAGCATCCCCGAGGCAGCTTCAGCCAGCGCCTTTACGGCCAAAAACTGTGGGAAGCCACAGGCAAAAGCAAAAGCTGCATAGCGGTGCCATCCCCGCGGCGGCCCAGAGCCAGGGGAAGCGATGCCCCACGGTCACGGAGGTGGCACGCAGCCCAGCGCCCAGCTCAGCCCCCCAGCTTCAAGGCCAGCATCTTCCTCCGCTGTGAAGAGGCAGAAGTGGAAAACCTCACCAACGCAGCCCGGGGTGACTGTCCCCAGCAGTGAGCTTTGGGTACAGCGGCTACAAAACGCCTCCAGGAACAGGCTCTTCCCACTGCTCCTTCCTTGGAGGAGACACCGCCACCCTCAGCACAAGTCTCAACTTCAGGAAGCTGCCAGCAACGTTCAGGTTACAGCTTCCCCTCTGAAATTTCACCCCATCACTCATAATCCTGTAACTGGATTCAGGGAGCGGAGAATCGACCCACCGATCTCTCCCGACCTGTCACCCTTCTCCAGCAAGCCCATCGAGCGAAAGCTGTAGCTCCTGCCATTCCCTCCACGTAGCTCCGTCCCTTCGATCTGCCGCTAAGTCATTCCATTTCTCTACCCTCCAGCTCATTCCTGGCTTGCTGCCTCGCAGGCGCAGAGCCTGGGATTCAACCTAGCTCTCTCCCTCCCTGCCTTCCTCGCCATGCCTCAGCCCCTGGGGAAAGATATTCATCAGCTCACCCTCAGCTGCACGCTGAAAAAGGTCTCCTTTGCTCTCTCAGGTTCAGCAGGCAGACCGGTATTTATTTGCTGCGGCGCAAATAAATAACGCACGTTCATTACGGCTTGCTCTGAGAGTATCTTCAGGGGCCTAAATCATTTGGTAATCAATTAACGTGGCCACCGAACTCCACCAGTCTGCTTCAGTAAATCAAGTGCTTGAGACAGGGATGCAGGTCATGCAGCTACTGCCCGGCAGCAGGCACGGGGCTCGATATAAACCCGTACGAGCGGGACCCTCCTGACTGCACGGAGGTTATAAGAAACATTAAGTTCCTTAACACAACCGGAGCGCTGAAACGGCAGCAGCCTGGGCTGCAGCACGCAGAGGTACCTCTCTCTCCAGAACAACGGCACGTGGAGCACAAAGGGTTTGCCAGGTGAAGCTTGGGAGAGGGAGGTATCTCTGGGGGGGGAAGAGACCAAGGGACCGATGAAGCTGAGGAGAAGGTGGCAAGGAGGCAGGTGAGACGTCCAGAGTTGCTGAGGAAGGCTAAAAGCTGGCTGAGACAGTTTGAGCCATGAGGAATTGCTGAGCCTCCTGCTTGATTTATGCTGCATTCAGGGGAGCAGGACTTTGAAAATCCTTTGTGCAGACCAAATGGCACCAAGGAAAGCCTGTGCTTCACCACCAGCTTCTCTCACCAATGGAGATCACGTTCCCCACCAATACAGACAACCACCAAGATCAAAAAAAGATTAGCAATATCTTCAAACTACGAGTGGCCCAACAGCAGGAACGATACGTGCGCACTGTGGAGAGCACGATGGCTTTGCTCATGGAGCTATGCTGCTCAAAGTGATGCTCTCAAGACTGTGGAGTGGAGCAGGAGACCAGCTCTCTTTCTGCCCCCTCCTGTCGATGGTTTTATTGAACAGCACCTTCGGGATGAGGCCATGCACTGCTGCCTGTGCCACGCTGGAGGGCATCCATGCTCTGTCTTGTCCACAGCAAACTGCCTTGGGGAGGAAGGGAGCAGACCAAGCAGGACTGTCTCCACCAGCGATCAACACTGGGTGTGATGGAGAAAGCCGCAATATCCCTGGCATTGCTCTCGCTTGCCCTGTGCTGGTTCTTCAGGCTCGTACCCTCCTGACCCTTAGCTGGCCATCAGCTCGGAGCGTGGTCCTGAAGGAGCCCAACCCCGCTGCTCCAGCTCGGGGGAATTCTCATGGCAGAAGAGGGAAGCCCTTACCTGTTTTTCCTGAAGCGAATGGTGAAGACAAGGAAGAAGAGCGCCAGCAGGACTCCTCCGGTCAGGAAGGTCCACACAACTCCCAGAAGAGCAGCAGAGAAGGACGGGGAGCTCTTCCCACTGCGGTCAGAAGATGTCTGTGGGAGGCAAAAGGAGTGAGGACGAAGAAGACATTGCCGGGGTTCCCAGCGAAGGAGGTCCCTACTCTGGCATGATCACTCCCACGGCTGCTCCTGCTCAGCCAGAAACCCCATCTGACACCCCAGCACCAGACCGAGACCCACAGGCAGAGCTAGTGAGATGTCCGTAGCCAGGACATGTACTCTGCCACTTGCCGAGCGCACAGGAGGCAGAAGACAGTCCAGGAGGCCTCTTCTTACGGCCAACTAGCCAAATACGTAGCGAAGCCGTACAAGTGACTCGTAAACCTCAAGCAGCCCCGGTTGTGGGAGAGAGGGAAATGGGTGACGGTTCCCCACCGTCCTTCTCTGGAAAGAAACCTCTGGAGAAAGACCTCGTGGTACCCCAGTTTGGAGCACGCTTCTTTGGAAGGTTGGGTAGGGCATCCTTAGCTCCCACCCTTACCCCTACGGGCAGCCGATCACCAGCCAGCCGGCTGACGTGACTGGGAGCCAGCAGCGGAGCTGCCAGTCGGTGCAGAAAACAGAGAAAAGGGAGTGGGACAGCGTTTTTTTTTTTTCAGACGCGGTACGCAGTGACACACCGAGCTGGGCTCCACCCGTCTCCCAGCTGGCTGGAAACTACCTTGGTCCTGGGTAGACATCAGCTGAGAACTGGCTTTTGAGGGACACTCCCAAAGCGGGTGTGATGGAGGCACCTCTCTCCTTGCGCGTAAGCGACTTAATGGTTTTAAATCTCCATTTAAAAATATTCTCTAGCTCCCTATTAACATAGGATGGATAAAATGATCCTACGTGAAAGAAGAAACCTACTTCTGCTGCGGATATAAAATACTCCAGCATTTTTAACAGGGTGCGCATGTGGGGGTTTGTTCACACATACTATGCGGGCATGTTACTGACGTTTTTTTTTTTTTCCTTTAAAAAAAGCATTACTTTCACTTAACTGCTGACGCATCCCCATTAAGGGGAAGGAGGAGGACAGGGACTGATCTGGGATCACACACCTCCTCACTAACTTCTCTGGTGCTAAGTCCTTTCTCAGGTATTCCAGTTCACCTGCACAAGACTATTTTCTGGACAGCTGCCACTGCCCCAAACTCCCGCATCTTCCTTCAAGCTCTTTCTGCTTCCACCCTTGCTAGAAATAAATCTGCGGAGAGAAGCAGGGCAGTCGCTGGGACAAACAGCCAGGCGAGAGCCGATGCTGCTGCCTTACGCTGGGATACAGCTGCGTGCGCAGCTCAGCCCCACTTTGCAGCGGCGCAGAGGGATCCTTGGGGAGATGCTCATCTCCCTCCTGAAAACTGCTCCCCACCTCCTCTTCCCTCTCCCCATCCCCTGGGGGGGGTCTTTTGACTCTCTGGGAAATGAAGACCACACCAGCCGGTGGAGATGGTCAGCCAGGTCACTCCTCCTCCCCTTACGCCACGACTCGCCGTGCAAAAACCCCATCACTTGGCAAGAGTCGGGGCTGTCTTCCCACCTGCCTGGAGCTCAGAGGGGCTGACGGGGCTGCTCGGGGATGGTACGAGCCTGTAACGCCATCCTAATTCTGTGTCCTGCCTGGTCGAGCCCAAGGGTAACGCCTGGCTTTTGCCATTAAGGCGAATAGGGCAGACTCAGCATCCCGGGGGCTCCCACGCTTCACTCCCAGCTGCATCCACCAGCAGAACCTTTCCACCTCCGGCTGCTGCCGAAAGCGTTACTGCACCCTCTTCCCAGCAACCACCCAGGGATCAGAAACACCCCTGTGGTCTCCACCTTTCCCCTCCTGACACGCACCCCCCCGGCCCTGACCGCTGTTTCCCTGGATGTTGATGCTACTTGAAGTTGATGGAGCGCTTCGTCTGCTGCTGAGCGGAGTAAATCCTGGCCCTAGCAGGGGGAATATTAATTGTAAGGCAGCTGCCAGAGCCAGAGGAGCCAAGCAGCTTACGGTCTTCTAATTAAAGGCTGATGGTCGTGCGGGACGTGGCGGAAAGCCGAGCAGGCCAAGCCTTGCTGGTCCATCCAACAGCCTCAAGCGAAGCCAACCGCAACTAAGTGCACCCCAGTGTCATTTCTCCTGGCTTAGTGGTGGGGGGAGAGGTACCATTTATTACAGACGATGACTTTTAATTAACTCCTGCTCTATTCATATTTGAAAAGCGCTTTGAAGTTCCAGGGGATGGGGAAGGTCAAGGGCAGAGGAGGCCATCCCAGGACTCCGAAGCGGCCGTCACGCCGGCCGACGCAGGGCTGCTTGACACAACTTGGCCATCACGGCTGCTTCCTCACCTTCTGCCTAACTGCTGGGTGTCATCTAGGCAGGGCTTGTTTTGGAGACCATCCCAGGAGGTGACAGCACGCAGCCTCTGGCTGGACCGGGATGCGTCCCTGTGCCTCTCTCTCCATCCCTCCACCCCCAAATCCCCTTCTGCGGAGCAAACCTCACGCCCCGGTGGGCTCCCCCGCCTCCATACGTACCACCGTGACCGTGCAGAGCTCCTGCAGCGCCCGCCGCTGCTGCTCCTGGCTGCCAAAACTGGAGCTGCCATCGCAGAGCTCAGAGCAGTTGAATCCCGGCTCCATAGCACATCCTCAGCCGTCATCCAGCCGTCCCTTCGCCCCTGCTGGAAGGATGAGGGTCGGCTTTCTCCGGCCAGAAGCCGACTTTCCGCATCTCCCACCCCGGTCAGCGGGGCGTAGGGAAGGGGTCCAGCAACCCGAGGGCTGAGCTTACCCGAATCGACGCGGTGCGCATCCAGAGCCAGGATGGGGAGCGCCCACCTCCCGGCGTCCCTCGGAGCGGGGGGGTTTCCTCCGCAGCGAGGCGAGTCAGCGCGGGGCGAGGGTCCCCACGGAGCACGGCGGCATCCCGAGCCCTGCTCCGCCAGCCACCCTGCAAACCAACACGCGCCGGGGGTCACGGCAGCCCCCGGCCAGTCCGAGCTGGAGCGCGGCACCCCGCCATCCCGAGTTCTCCGCGGCTTTCCTCGTTTTGCCCGTTTTCCCACAACGGTGCAATTTCAGGGTGTATCTTTGCGGGTCCCCTCCCCACGCCGGGAGCTGCTGCTGGTTTCCCTGGTTCCCCTTCTTCTAGCAAAGGGCCAGCGAGCGAAGACAACAAGAAAGAGCGACGAGCATTGCCATCGCTTAATGGGACCTACACCCAGGCCTGGGCAAGCAGGGGAGGAAGGCGCTGGAATTACACACGTACCAAAGCGTTTTGGCTGACTCGGCCCGAGCGGCAGCCTGGCTAGCTGAGGAGCAGGCTGTTTATTAAAGAGATTTAAAAGCCTGGCATCTCCGTGCTCCCCATCCCTCCCGGCGCTCTGGCTGCCAGGTATTGTCCCCGCCTGCGCCCGCTCCCCTCGCACCACCTTTGCCTCTGTTCCCTTTTTCGTTTCTCTTTTTGGCGGGGGTTTTAATAGGCCTCATTACCATTTTAGACATGAGGTCATACTTATCCTCAAGCATCCTTACTCAATTACCATTGTCACCGGTTTTAATTAGCTTCCAGCGCACGACCATAAGCAAGTCTCCCGTCGTTAGCAGCTGGGGAGGAAGCGCAATAGCTCACTCCCTATTTGCTCCTAACAACAGGTGAGAGGAAAAAAAATTATCCGTATCGTGCTCCTCAGGGCTGCTCCCTGGCCGAGCATCCCCTGCGCTCACACCCTGCACCTGGCACCTTCCCTGCCACTACTCCGACACTTTGATCCCCTCTCCTTTTCTTTGGAAAAACTCCTGTCATTACACAAGTAAAGAAAGAGCAAATTAAAACAAAGCGAGGTCACTGGGACCGGGTCTGAAACTTGCTGTTCTTCACAGGGGATCATCAGGATTCAAACGCCAGCAAAGCTACAGGCGTCGTTCTCGCCTCGTGCAAACTGATTTTCAGCTTTAGAGAAGTCACTTACAAGTCCCAGGCCGAAAACATCAGGGTCAGCGGGCCACTCGTCCTAAATTAGCAGAACCACCTCTGAAGCGACAACCGCAACTCTCCCGCTGGCAGAAGCCCCGACGTACCGCGGGGTCTGGACGCCGTCCTGCCTGCACCAGGACGGCCCTCAGCGCGAGATCAGCTCACCACGTCCTACAAACACAATATCACACATCAGCCAGACTTATAAAGGTACGATAGAGGGTTTTTTTCCAAGAGTGCTAACGCCAGGTATTGCAACACCAGTAGAAGGGCAGCGGAGAGGAGGAGATGGGCTCCAGGTGAACACCTTCAGGGGTAACACTGGTAAATGAGATGGAGCGTGGAGGGGCTGCGTGCGGTGTCCAGAGACGGGGGTAGAAGAGGGGCACTGAGTCTTTGAGGCCAAGAAGACCTGCGAGGTGAGCACTGCCCAGCCTCCAAAGGGCTCAACTCTTCCCCATGCTCCCAAGTGTGTTTAAGGACAAGAGGTCTCCCTATAACCCCCTATATCCTCCTGCCATGTCAGAGGGGAAGTCCACCTACCGGGGGACCACTACCAAGGCTGGCATGAGGCCAGCAGGCACGGCCCTCCCGTGGCTCACACATGGAGACGTTTCCACAAGGAGCATCAATTCAACCCCCATCCCCTTGGGAAGCCACCCCTCGGCAAAGGGCAGAAGCCCCTTGGGGTTCTTCCCAGCCCCCACCCCACTATTCCACAAACAGCTCCCACGCAACGCTGATAACGAGTCAAGGCTAATTAGCGCTCATTAGTATGCAACAAAGCAAGCGCTAGTGTGCTTGTCGCCAAAAGGCAACAGGCACTTCCAGCCCAGCTCCTCGTGGGAGTCGGCAGGAACGCCACTCCATGGCCCGGAGAGCATCCGAGGGGGACCAGTGCTGTGGGGGGGGTTCTCACAAGGGAGAAAACACATCCTTAAGCTGTGAGGTTCTCTTGAGGGCAGAGACTTGTGGGGTTTTGGGGGGGTTGGGTTTGTTTGTTTGGGTTTTTTTAAGGCCAAAATTCCCAACAGTTCTGGTGGATCACTTTCTGAGCAGAATCACAGAACGGTTTGGGTTGGAAGGGACTTTCAAAGATCATCTAGCCCAACCACCTGCCATGGACCGAGACATCTTCACTAGATCAGGTTGCTCAAAGCCCTGTCCAGCCTGACCTTGAACCCTCCCAACGATGGGGCATCCACAACTTCCCTGGGCAACATGTTCCAGTGTCTCACCACCCCCATCGTAAAAAAATTTCTTCCTTATGTCCAACCCAAATCTACCCTCTTTCGGTTTAAAACTGTCACCTCTTGTCCTGTCACTACAGGCCTTGGGAAAAAGCCTTTCTCTGTCTTTCTTACAAGCCCCCTTTAAGTATTGAAAGGCTGCAATAGGGTCTCCCTGGAGCCTTCTCTTCTCCAGGCTGAACAACCCCAACTCTCTCAGCCTCTCCTCACAGGAGAGGTGTTCCAGCCCTCTGACCATTTTTGTGGCCTCCTCTGGACCTGCTCCAACAGGTCCGTGTCTTTCCTGTGCTGAGGACCCCAGAGCTGGATGCAGAACTGCAGGTGGGGTCTCACCAGAGCAGAACAGAGGGGCAGAATCCCCTCCCTCGACCTGCTAGCCACCCTGCTTTTGATGTAGCCCAGGGTACGGTTGGCTTTCTGGCTTGCGAGCGCACATTGCCAGCTCACATCCAATTTTTCATCCAGCAGTATCCCCAAGACTTTCTGCGCAGGGCTGCTCTCAGTCCTTTCATCACCCAAGAGGAGTTAGCTCTCATTTTCTGTGTTTGGTACTCTAGAAACATTAGGCTCCCATTTGGGTAATTTCAGAAGAAAATGCAGCTCCTAGAAAGAAGAAGGGAAAGGCTGAGGGCATTAACATCTCCTTGTGCTCCCATTAGCCTGAACATCACAGAGGGAAAAGGGAAGCCAGAGAGTGATGCCGACTGTAAGTGGAATTCACTGTCATTTGATTTTCAAACAACAGACGTGAAGGAACACCACGAGAGCAGTTTCCGACAGCCTGCACACCCCATGGAAGCAATCATAGCATCAGGTGAAGCAAAGCCCTTGTTCAGCCCACCTTGTTCTCCTCCCCTTGCTGCCCTCGGTCTCTGTGGTATTACATATGTGGGCTGGTCGGGTCATAGTGGCTAGTATTTGGCCATGGCTGAGCATCACTGTGTGCGTGGACATGATCCAACAAGCCTGAAGCTGACAGGAAACAAGTGACTGGACCACATGAAAAATATTAGCACCATCTTCTAACGTGAAAAAGGAAGCACTGACTGTTGAAAACAATATTCAGATAAAAGCAATTTGCAGTCATCTCAATGGTTGATCTTCAGGGCTGGAAAATCTGTTCCTTTGGATCCTTCAAGACCCAGGATTACTTATCTACCAATGCTGAGCAACTGTAAACTAACAAATAAATATCCCTCAAAAAAGATGCGTTGATGACATCTAAATTCAAATCTTGACTCTCTCAAAGTTTCTTCTTCCCTTCAAAACCTTTCGTTTGAAAAAGCAGAGGGAAAAAAAAAAAAAGCTGAAAAATTGGTGCAGCATGTATGGGCCCAGAGCAGGCAGAATGAATGTTTCACCCCAACCAGTTCCTTTTAATCTAGCCTTGAACGAGAGACTTCTTCCCAAAGAGCAAGGCGATGTCACGGCTCAGTGAATCACAAGGTGGAAAACTGAAGACGTCGAATCGCAGACAACAGAACAATTGCATTCAAAAATGTCCCAGTATTCATGAGCCCTGCGATCCTGTCCAGTGATATCAGCCCCGACAGCGGAATGGTACATGTACACCTCTGCAAGGGAAGAGCAGAGCACATCTGGAGAAGCACATCTGTTGGGAAGGACCTCTTGGGAAGATGGCTGTGTGGCCGGAGAAGGACAACCGGGGGAAAGGAGGGATGTGCAGAGAGCAGAGCCATTCCTGCTGCCTTGGGAAGGGAGCAGGGGGACCTCGGCTCACCCACGGAGGGTCTGCGCTGCCACAACCGCTGCTGATGGGAGACGGAGGTCTGCTGGTGGGGACCAGCCCCAGCTCGACAGGACGCCGGGCCGCACACTTAAACCAGCAAGTCATCCGGATAACTGTTCCGGCAAGATGAGCACGGGATGGGGTTTTGCAATTCAGAAAATGCTGGCACTTCTGAGACAGGCTCCTGCTTTCCCTTCCGCTCTTCTTGTCCAACAAGATCCCTTCTTGTTTGACCTGAGAAACCTGCAATATTGCCACAACCCCAGGGCGATCAAAAAAAATCACAAGCTTCACTTACTGCAACATTCCCCCCAACAGAGCTACTTCAAAATCGTGAGTTAAAATGCACAGCATATCTGAAGCTTATTTTTAATTTGTATTTAAAACTTCAGCATCTAAGTTTTCACACTTTCCCCTGCAAACACAGAAGGAAAAAGAAAGAAAACCACAAAACTCTGATGTAATCCTAAAACCTGGGTTACAAAGCCTTGATCCCCGGAACACCGGGGAGCTGCAAAGCCATCACCCTACTTCTCAGGGAACTGCACCGCGCTCTTGCTCCATCCCGCTCTTGCCCCTGGGATTTCCAGAGGCACCTCCAGGCCTCTGGGATATCTTCATCCCTGGCCGACAGACAGCTAGCTCGCTGCGCAGCCACGCGATG